GTTCAACATACAACATGGGTTTTGCAGAAGAGTTGAAGTTGTCTATAGGGATTGAGGGTGTTGAGAAATTTAAGAATACAATTTTCGGTCCATATCTTAACATTCCTAATTGCAATTACCAAGGGCAAATAACAAAGTGTCTATTACTACTTGAGCTGGAGCAGGATAATATAGATGAGCTCCATATTCGCCATGCTAGCGGGAATATTTTGCATTTCACTATCAAAGATTTGCCATCATTACCGGCCTGAAATGCACAAAAAGTGTTAATGAATTTAAATATCCTGATTCCACTCACAGTAGATTGATTCAAAGATATTTTCCTGATTCACAAAACGTTGTAAACAAGGGTCGTTTAGTTCAAAGATTTCGGATGGGTCAATGGGAGAATAATCAAGATGCTCTTGAAATGGCAATCCTATATTTCATTCACACTTTTGTCTTTTCCCAGCTTGGTGATGCAAATATATCTATCCACCATTTCTATATTGTTGAAGATGGAAGGTATCAACAGTATCCATGGGGACAGATTGCATTCTCAAAATTGATTAAATCACTAAGAAAAGAGCTCACCAAAGAAAAAAAGATGTACCGATTAGCCGGCATGCCATATGTCCTGAATGTTTGGATATATGAATGTGCCTCGGCAGTCGGTGATGAAATTGCAGTCAAAGTGGGCAATTTTATACCTAGAATATGCAACTGGCGTGTTGTGGGAGTCAAGCCAAAATTTGGCATGTTTATGTCTAGCATCTTCTCCCATGTTTAATATATGTTTTGATAGTGTATAATGAACAATTTTCATGTCATATTAATGTATCATTTTTGTTATTATTGTTACATAATCTTGTTTATTATGTTGGTTTGGATACGCAATCCAGAATTCTTGCAATGATATACATCCAACATCCGAGAAAATGGCATCACTTGATTTGCCTGGTAATGTTGATGCTTCTCATAATGAACATCAAAATTCAGCTGCCAAGTGCAAGCCTGTTCAACCACAAGAACTTTTCGGATTTGAGGATTTTTCTACTAATCCTACGGATCAATTTTTAAAGAGATCAAAACACGCTTCAACTACATCAGCTACACCCCCTCCAAAGAGGAGAAAAAATGCTCATCCCGTCAAACCAGATGTTATTGATGTTAATCAACCTGAATAATCGGTTGTGCAATCAAATAAAAACAGTCCAATTCCAGTTTCAGGTGTTAATGTACCCAATGTTCATATTCCTTCACTAGATCTTAAAGAACCTACTGACAGGTCAGAGATTAAACAAGTTAAGAAATACCTGAAGAAATATGTAAGTGATTGTTTTATTTTGTTTTGACAGTTATTACATATTGACAGTTACTACATATTCACTTATATTGTATATATATTTTTAGATTGACAAGAAATTTCAGCATTTAGAGGATTTAATCAAATTAAATTACAAGCAGTTGATGAATGTTGTTCGGAATCCACACAAGCAAGAAGAAGAGGTAGTGTATTATTTCTAAAATAATTAAAGTTAAAACAAATTATTTGTTTCATATGTAACCCTTTTTCTTCGTGTAGAATATTTCTGGCACATCTACGATTCTTAACATGCCAGAGTTCAATCAAGAAAAATACGTTGTTCGTCCACCTACCACTAACCAGCTGTTTGATAAACGGAGTTCACCTATTGCGATGGACGTGCCCGACAATGATCGATTTGAGGTAGATGTTGTTGAGGATCAAGAACAAAATCTTATCCCTGAACCAAAGATTGTAGAAGTAAGTTTTTAACAATCCTGATTAAATATGCAGTCAAATATTATTCATTGAAACATTAACGATACATTAGCTAATTACTTATATTTTTCAACTTTAAAACATAGGATGTTGATACATGTAAGGAAAAAGAAGGTAGGAAGGATGTATCAGATCTTCCATACATAACAGAAGTCCATGATGAAGCAAATGTACAATTTTGTATATGTATGATACATTAGTTTGTCAATGTATCATTTTAACATACATCATCCTTTTTTAGGAAGATGTACCAATTGGAGGCTCCAAAACATTTCATCAAGTAATGTTGGATGAACATGATGCTGATAAAGTGAAGGATAATGTCATAAAATCTGATAAATCGGTAAATCTTACAATTAGTTACCACGTAAATTAATAATACCATTTTACAATTTTGTATTCATTTATCTAATCTATATTATAATTGTATCAATTAATATAGGGTTCGATAAATTCGGATTCAGTATCAGCTGGTACTCAAGAAGCAGTAGATACACTTTATGGCATTCATGCTCAACCACTGCAAGTTGTCACTCTCTAACAACTTACTGAAACATATGATTTGAGATCGGGCAACCTGTTATCCATGGATACAAACGTAAATGAAATAGTGGTGCATGAAGTGTCAAAGACACCTATTCAAAGATTGAGATTGCCATCAAAGATCTTTCAATCAGCATACATGACTATATTTGGGTCTAGCGACAAAAGCAAAGAGAAAGTTAATTCAGAGTTACACATTCGTCCAAATCACCCATTTCAAGATAGTGGTATTATTTTCCAACCTCCATCTGCTTTACTTGATCAGTACCATCAGTGGTTATCAAAGGGCCTTCTTAAAACACATGACAAGAAGTAAGTTATATATCAATATATCCAAATACTGTTAGATCATTATTTGTTTGAATCTGCATTGAGTTTTAATAATTATATAGGAAATCAAAGGAGGACAAATACAAATGCAATTCAGCTTCTTTTGGATTTGAGCAGATGGACTTCGTTGTTGCATTTTCAATTAATAAAAATTGGTTATATACCATGGCGCAGCCAAAGAAATGTTGGACTGATGAGGTATAATAGTAAATTCAAGAATAAAGATGTATCTGATACATCTTTAAAAATGTATCTGATACCTCTGTATGTATCTGATACATCTTTAAAGATGTATCTGATATAAAATTATGTTTACACCTAGACATAGCATATATGATACATCACATCATACATTTTATTTATTTTCACTAAATAATTTATTTTGCAGCATATCGATGTAGTCTTTTACTACCTTAGGAAGAAATCAAAATTGCGAAGCCTGGATCAATACAGATACACCATAGTTAACTATTTATTCAAAATATACATCAATAACACACATGAGAGGTATCATTGTAGTCTTGCCGATGACAACCTTAGTACACAGGAACACATGGCGCGTGGGTCTGTTGTATTTGGATTCGAGCGGTCATTGATGAACATTATTAATGGTTTTGAGATTCTTGTTGGTTTATCGTGGCACTCATGTGATGATGTTTACATTCCGGTGAATTGTGATGGACAATTTCATTGGGTATTGACTGTTGTTGTTTTGAAAAAGAGGCTAATACGTGTCTATGACTCAGCATCTGGATCAAGGAGAAAAAATTTTCGGGAGACATTAAAAAATTATCTCTAATGTTGCCTACTTACCTCCAGGACAGTGGATTTTTTGAGCATTCCGAGCGAACTGATTGGTCAGCTCTTGATGCTTATAAGGACAAGGAAACTGGAAGTTTATTGGAACCTAATCACCCTTTTCTTGTTGAATATGTACAAGACATTATTTAATAAGGAAGCGACACACTGTAAGTTTTAAAACATCTTGTTTTAAAGTTTATGTTCAATTTATTTTTGTATAATGTATCTTTTGCAATTTTGTAGGGATTGTGGTTTGTTTGTGGCCGCCTTTGCTGAATTCCTTAGTGATGAAATTCCAATCCAATCCAATAATTTCCGTTCTGATTATCTTCGGTCAAGATACACAACATTGCTATGGAATTACGGCAGTGAAAAGGCTGAAGCTGGATACGTTAGTGATATTGACTAAGGGTCATTTCACACCACCAAACCATGATGCGTTGGTTAACCTGGAGTAGTTTTTGTGCATCAATGGATACATAATGTTTTGTTTGTTTTTACTACTTTCAAGATATATTAACTTAAGTGTTGAAGGGTTTCTCTTAAAACTTGTTTTGTCTGACTTTTTAATTTGAAGGGTTCCTCTTAAAACTTGTTTTGTCTGACTTTTTAATATCAATATATTTTGTTCATTTAATCTCGAAATGTATATTTGTCTAAATTTACAAATTCTAATAATCAAACATTATTATTAAATCATCATCAATATAAAATGCACATAAATTTGAGCAAACTTTTTTTCCTAACAACATCAATTCAATTTACTATTTCAAAAACATTTAAAAGAACAACACACTAAACAGTATTGCACATAAATTTGAGCAAACTTTTTTTTTCTAACAACATCAATTCAATTTACTGTATAAAAAACATTTAAAAGAACAACACACTAAACAGAATATTACGTTTATAATCTAAAACTTATTGAATTGAAAATTATAAATCTTAAACAACAATGTATTCTAAAAAAAAATCTATTAAAAAGTTGTAATCAATAGATAAGTTAGCTAAGATTTACAATTTCTAACACAATATTTTTGATAATGTATATACAACAATAGTTATAATCAATATGATACATGAATTAATAATATATATGATACATGCTTTCTTATTTATTGTGACAAATACATTGGTGAGAATTTATGTATCATATGATTTCTCTGATACAATAGCTTATTTATGATTTAATGAATATGATACATTAGATATTATGTAAATGATACAGTACACATAGTATATTTTACACATAATGTATATGATACAAATGCACCTAAATATTTGTATATCGGAGATAACATTTACACACAAATCATAATAATTTATTGAATTGAACAACAAAAGTAATAAACAAACGTACCAAAATAACATCCAACACACAAATCATAACAAATTCTTAAATGGATCCGCAAAACTCATAAATATTGAATCAAAATAACCAAAAATAAACAGTAATCTTTATTCATGATAAATATAAAAGTGATAATCCATTAAGTCAAAAATTATTCAACAAAAACATAAATGTCTTATAAAAATAACGATTTCACTTTTCTTTTGGGAAGAAAGTACAAGTTCTTTTGTTGTGACCTTCTTGACCACAACGTCCACAACAGTTTATCTTTACTATTATCTTTTCATCTGCATTTTGTTTTCTTCTTTTCCTTGGTCGTCCAGCCAATCTTTTATATCTAGGTGGCCACACAGTTTCATCTACAACATTGCTAGGAACTGACCAATCTTCTTTATCTGGCATTGGAACCATTGGAACCTCATATGTTTTTGCTAATGTATCAGGCTTGTAGTAATCAGAGCAATAAGGATGCATATCTGTGACATTCTTGTCCTTTAAAACAACAATTGCATGTGCGCAAGGTATCTCATCTAGTTGAAATCTGCCACAAGTACATTCTTTCCTCTCAAGACAAACAATGTATCTTCTTCCAACTTCATAAACTGAGAAAATAAATTCAGATGATGGAACAACCTGCAGACATTAAAAAGTAATTGATAAATTTATTTCAAGTAATGCTGATCAAAATAGCCGAATGATATACCAAATTAGATACAAAATATAAAATTATGTATCCTGATACATACCTTCATCTTCGAACATTTAGATGCGTTTAGAATCAATATCTCCTCAAATTTTCTCCCCAATGTATCTTTTGTATAAGAGGCTATTTCTCTATTTTTGCAATGCCAAGAACCAAATAGAATTCTAACCTCTTCTAAGAATTCTAATATAGACAACTGACGCGCCTCAACAAGACAACCATTGATACATTCCGCTATGTTCGAAGTCATCATTCTACCTCTATTTACTGTTGAATGAACTCTCGACCACTTCTCATACCCAGCATCCTCAAGGTACTCCTTAACCCTGTGGTCAACTTTATCCACCTTAGCCATTAATGTATCGAAATCCTCCTTTCTATATGCCTTGGCCATAGAGTAGAATAGATCACTTAAAGTGTTTACGCTCCTTTTGAAGTTTCCACAGACATTCTTCCAAAGATGTCATATGCATGCATAGTGAGGTACAGTTGGGAACACAATTCTTACACTCTTCATAATACTCTCATTTCTATCAGAAACAACACACATTTTTTCACGCTCGCCAAATGCATTTTTGAATTGTTCGAAGAACCATGTCCACGAACAGTCATTTTCAGTATCTGGCATTGGAACCATTGGAACCTCATATGTTTTTGCTAATGCATCAGGCTTGTAGTAATCAGAGCAATATGGATGCATATCTTTAACATTCTTTTCCTTTAAAACACCGATTGCATGTGCGCAAGGTATCTCATCTAGTTGAAATCTGCCACAAGTACATTCTTTCCTCTCAAGACAAACAATGTATCTTCTTCTAGCTTCATTTACCGAGAAAATAAATTCAGATGATGGAACAACTTGCAGACATTAAAAAGTAATTGATAAATTTATTTCAAATAATGCTGATCAAAATAGCCGAATGATATACCAAATTAGATACAAAATATAAAATTATGTATCCTGATACATACCTTCATCTTCGAACATTTAGATGAGTTTAGAATCAATATCTCCTCAAATTTTCTCCCCAATGTATCTTTTGTATAAAAGGCTATTTCTCTATTTTTGCAATGCCAAGAACCAAATAGAATTCTAACCTCTTCTAGGAATTCTAATATAGACAACTGACGCACCTTAACAAGACAACCATTGATACATTCCGCTATGTTCGAAGTCATCATTCTACCTCTATTTACTGTTGAATGAACTCTCGACCACTTCTCATACCCAGCATCCTCAAGGTACTCCTTAACCCTGTGGTCAACTTTATCCACCTTAGCCATTAATGTATCGAAATCCTCCTTTCTATATGCCTTGGCCATAGAGTAGAATAGATCACTTAAAGTGTTTACGCTCCTTTTGAAGTTTCCACAGACATTCTTCCAAAGATGTCATATGCATGCATAGTGAGGTCCAATTGGGAACACAATTCTTACACTTTTCATAATACTCTCATTTCTATCAGAAACAACACACATTTTTTCACGCTCGCCAAATGTATTTTTGGATTGTCCACGAACAGTCATTTTCAGTGTCTACAACCCCATATGCCAATGGCAATATGCAACCTAATTAAAGATCAACACGCATGATTTCATTTGATACATAACATTTACAATATAGATACATATTAAACAAGATCACAATTACAAAAAGTACATACCTTCCCCATCAAGTGTGCTTGCTGATAAAAATGTACCTTTGTAAGCTCCACCAAGATGTGCACCATCGACAACAACTACCGGTCTGCAGTAATCGAACCCCCTCATCAATGGTCTTAAGGCTATGAACAGATACATGAATTCATCTTCCACTGACTTGTGCATCCTTATATAAGAATTTGGATACACATTATT